AGTTCATGAAAAGAAAATGAAAACAAAGATCGGATGAAAACAAAAAGCATAAAAGTACAAAGAGGAAAATGTCTCTTTTAAGCAAGTTCTCTTTTGAATGAATCCTTACCAGGCATTATGAGATAAAAACGTATGCACAATGCAGTCAATACAATTTTATATTCATTAATTCAAGTAATGCCTTTAAATCCGGAAATAATTATGGGTAGTCTCTTGTCTGGAATCCGTGAACTAAACAAACGGTGGAATGGGATATAAATGTAATTGCGTATGTTTTCAGACATGATCAAAATGATAATGATACACTTTATAAATAAATGACCCACAAACGACACTTAATCTTTTTGCATAATTATATTTAGGATGGTTGTGCCAGCCTTTCCGTCTGTAATTAATCTAAATGATTCCGTCGAATAGCTATTCATGAAGCATTCAATTCATTAATCCACCATGGACTCATGGTCGTATGATAACAGCCAAGCTGATCATTTCTAATTATGGGCAATCTAAATAGATCGATACCTCATGATACCAAGGACAATCTAAGTTGTTATTTCCTAAAGAGAGCATCGTGATAGGGAAAAAGCTGTGGTGTTTAGAATGAGTGACTGTTGTCTTTTATATCTCACCTATACATGCAAGCATCTTCTAACTATCCTCAGCTACTATTTTCCCTCGACTTAGGCTCGGGCATGAAAGAAGGAGGTGAGATTGGTTTTCCTATCGCCCGGATAGTCGGTAATAGTTCTGAACGCAGCTTTAAAAAAAACATGGAGAACGAAACCATTCCAATTCAATTCAACTAAATTAAATTAAATTCATTTATTCCATTATGATCCGTAGCTCTAAACATTGGAATAAGCTAAAATTCCCACTCATGATAACCATAAATACCCAATAAGAATCTAAATATATCAAAACAGGCATATATCATAGAACATCATCAGAAATACTTTTAATATAAACAGTTAACTACTATATTATTCATACCCTTACTCAGTTTGTAATTTTTTAGAATGTGGAAAATTGATGTGTCCCGATTTTTGTTTCTTGAGAATGTGACATATAAGGGATGATAAAAATATTCAACAAAGGCCCTAATTCATCCAGCCCATCTTTCATTCTTGTGTTACGAAAAACACAAACAGATTTCGAATTTACCATGAGTATAAATAATTCAGTTGTTAACTTTACAAACTAAGACATAAAGGTACAATTCTGCTACAAAAACAACACCCTCTGCCAAATAAGTGTAGGTGGATGCACATTTGAAACCCAAATTGCACCCTTGTCTCTTAGCGTGTAGGTGATAAGTACAAATAATGAAGAACAATCGCTACTACCTTTCAATAGCCAATCATTAATCGGGATGATACGTTAATTCTGATTGGCTGAAAGTAAGTGCAACACAGCGCAAAAACTAGCGTTTTAGCCAATCACTGTTCTTCTCCTTTATGCTTGATTACGGGAAGCGAGTATTACTGCGTAAACAGTATAAGGTCATCATTCAATTAAAAGGATATTATTGTTTTTACACTGTTGATCCTGCCAATGGCGAATATCCGGTCCTAAATTTGACGCAAATCGAAGCACAATACAACATAAATAGCCTGATTATTTTTCAATTAAAGATAACAATGTGATCATTAGATTAATCAACAAAAATAAAAGTCTGCATGCAGCCTTCGTTGGTGACCGTCCAAAAGTTAGATATTTGACGAAGGTTGCATGGTCACATTTTAATGAAAATTGTATGGAAAATTTGTAAAACAAGTATCATGAAAAGTAATTTTTGGTTTGAAAAAATATTAAAATCATTCAAAGTAAATTCATAAGAAGTTGTGCAAGAAACGAGCCTGAAGTGTATGACATTGCTATGATATTCTGCAATCATTTTGAGCCAACTGATTGATTTCTGGTGTGTTCTTAAAAACCATATATTCTGTTTTTTTAACCTTTTATTTTCTGTATATTTTCTAAACAAAAACAACCAATGTAGAGAACCCTTAAACAGAACTTGGTAGACTTATTTCTTTGGGGCAGCCCCGGCATCATTTGTTGTTCTTGTTTTCCGTTTTTTAATTATTATTATTATCATCACATGTGTATCCTATCATTGTCTCTACTATGTATATGTTATCGTTTAATTTTATCTTCCTGGAAATCAAATACATAGAAAAACATTTATTTACGTTCGTTAAACAACTGAGGCTCTTGGGATTTGTATTATTATTGTACCCTTTTCACAATGCTAATTCCTCTACTTTATAAATATTGCATATAAAGATAGTCGCAAGAAATTATACATGCATTGATCATTTCATGTTTGTATCTCTTGTTATATGACGAACAAAAACAATAATTATATTTTTTTTTCTCTCAAATCACCGCATACCCTAGGATCGGTCTATACGTCTTGAATTTAGGCATAAAAAGTGCAGCAAGTTTAGAACAATTCATGAGATTTGTTGTTTCCTTGCTCGGTCGAAATTCCTCAAATCAAGTTTCGCACTGCTTCTTATACACTTGTATTGAATCGATTTGTAAATCTTCTCTCTTCACCATGCGTTTAGCATATAATATCTTATTCTGCATATCCACAGGTGCAAGTTAGCCCATTCATACACACTAAGAAATAGGGGTACATTTAGGGAGCAGATCGCTGCTACAATAGCAGCCACCTATAGCACGGGTGGCCAACCTTTTAAAGCTCGCGGGCCACATCTAACGATTGTCATAACTTGGAGGGCCGTAGGCCAGGCGGGGGGGGGGGGGGGGGGGGGTTAATCACATATTGAGACATACGGGGTGTGCCGCTCTAATGGGTAACCTTTTTTACAAAAAGAATCCCTAAACTTGGGTCCCATTTTTAACAGAAATATCCTAAACATGGGTCCGTGTTTTCAAAAAATTTATTTAAAAAAAATTCAGGGTTTTAGCCATGCAAACACCCGAAATTTTTATAAAATGGGCTTTACTTTCAACAAAAATCTGCCAAAACAAGGCAACCCTTAAAAATGGGTAGAGGTTACGAGGCTTCAGCGGCACACCCCGTCAAAACCAAATCTGAAATCCCCCCCCCCCCCCACACACACACACACACTCATGTACACACCTGCAATTTTGCAAACAACAAAATCAGTCGAACAAAATCAGGCTTACTTTTTTAGTGTGATTTCTGGCTAACAAAATATGAGGCAAAGTTGTTTACCTTTCTCTTCAATGAAGAAATACTTCAGAGATCAATCCGATTTAAAGTTTCTGTCTCCATCAGAAACTTTCCTTTTCTTCGCACGTCTCGAAATCGATGCCATGTTGGTTTTTATTTCAAACAAAATCAATGACACAGCAGAAAGAATAGGGGACTATCCACGATTAAGATTAATGAAAAAATTAAACGGCGGGAGAAAAGGGTTGTAAGTTTTAAGACAAGTATGGCATTTCAAACATATTTCTTGATTCACGATCGATTGGGCAAAAAGAATTTCCATTTTCGGTTTAACTTAATAAAATTTGGAGTGGATTTTAAAAGATTATTATTATTGTTATTATTTGTATATTTACAAAGGTTACTGCATGTGGAAATAACAAACTGAAATTAACACGGCGAGTGATGTTAATGTCGTTAATGTAGTGTAATGAGAGGGAATTTGAGGAGTTTTGTATAAGCCACGTAACGAATCAATATGTTGTGAATGATGAAAACAAATTATGGAAATAGAGATAGCTGTGTGTAAATGTTTTACTCTATTTCATCGTTGTTATGCGGGCCGCATTTCATTCATTAAGTAATTTTATAATTACTTTTTCAATGCTCCGCGGGCCGCACAAGAAGAGCTCGCGGGCCGCATGTGGCCCGCGGGCCGCAGGTTGGCCACCCGTGATATAGGGTATGGAAATTGCCCGAGTCCTTGTGATCGTGTTATAATTTATGATCATTTTGTATAGACCACCTATTACGCATCTGTATCCGCCATACAACACATTCATTTACAAAGTTTATGTACAATCATGTGCAAAGAAATTGAAATAAAATCTAAATTATAAATCTAATTATAAACTAGTCTCCACAGGGTCCTGGATTATCATGTGCAAAGAAATTGAAATAAAATCTAAATTATAAATCTAATTATAAACTAGTCTCCAACAGGGATCTGGATTATTAAAACTTTATGACACAATAACTTGCTTATTTAATTTCACAAGTTACTACAAACTTAAACCTAGATACAAAAAGTGGAGACATTGTGAAAGCATGAATATGTGGGGAAGAGATAATGGATCAAGGCGGAAGGTGAAGGCCGACCGACAGGCGAGGGGCTGAAGTGAGGGGAAAAGAGAAAGAGGGATACATGCATGTATATTGAAACAGCTAAAGGGAGGCATGACTGCTGTCTATGCTGAGCTTGCCTTATAGTGGCTTTTTACCAGCGCTTGAAATGAGGAAATCTTATCGTAAATTTAGCCGTGTTAGGATACTAACTAACTAAGCAATCAAAATATATTTGTAGAAATCAAGGTTTCTGAAGACCTGCAATAATCACACTATCATAAATTTAGTCGTGGTAAGACGGCTAACTAAGCAATCGAAATGTATTTATATAAATCAAGGTTTCGGAAGACCTGAAATAATCACAATGAGATTCATCATTTGCCTTAGGCGACTCTCTCAATGCGATTCATTTCTACATGTCATTTGCTGTTTCTTAAACATATTCCCTACATTACACATAATTAGGTGAACAGAGCGACGCTTGCCTTTCCTCAGATAATACCTCCTCATTCGCCAGCTTATTGTATCACGTGATCACGCAAGTGATCATCAGTTGCGCCAGCATAATTTGTCGCCTAGTAATCTTGACAACCTGACGTAAACAATGCGCCTGACAGGTTTTCAAGTATTAATTCAGATTGTCTCAACAACGGGCATTATATCTTGAAAGCAAGCTCTAAACTGTGTACTCACTGTATAATAAGCATGCGGTTATGATATTCCTCATGCTTGTCCATTTCGCGATTGTGTATTCTCCAAAGCTACACCGCTTAGCGCTAGCTTGCTGGTTTCTTTGAAGACTCCCTTTCTGATCTACTTACAAATAGCTTCTTCCAAGTCAAGCTTCTCGTGAATACTAATAATATAGTGGGCGTTAGATGAACAAATATGCAGTGAACTTTGTATAACGTGCTTAAAACATTGCGGTTTCCTCATTTGCAGTTTATATTAAATGCCCACAACAGTTTAGCTTTGCAAATGTGATCTTATGAATAATACAAAATCATGATCCAGCCTTCGTGAACGGAAATTAAGGTTGTATGAACTCGCACTGTCACTACTTGTGCATTGATTGTTTCGGAACATTGAACATTGACACTGATGTCTGGAAGTTGTCCATTAAGGTGTGCAGTCTGGCGTTCCTCTTTCACTGCTTCATTTTCTCCATTGTCTCGCGGAGGCAGGATCATCCATCATTTAAGTACACTGTTGTTATAACTCCTTCCTCGTTATAGCGATTTGCCCATTATTGTGTAATTCACACAAGATTTTATTTCTTTCTCGTTGTGACTTTGCTTAGTCAGAATTTGTGCGTTTTTTTTTTGAATAACTGCACTCCCACCCCTCCGGAAAGATGAATTTTACGAGCGATACTACTACCATCGAATATGACGCAACAACGGACAGTCCTGGCGCCCAGGTGGGTATCACCTTAGTCAATACATGTGAACTCGTTTTTGGATCTTTGGGTATCCTTGGCAACCTGATCTGTATCGTAATTTTCAAACGCCGTTCCAAGCATAACCAGACAAATTTCCTAATAATCATGCAGGCTGGAGTGGACTCCATTGCATCTGCTTTGTTAGTGTCCCTGACAATTACCAGTATATTAAACCCGACGGCGCCCTCTCACTGGCTCATGGGCAGTATCTATTGTAAGTTCTGGAAGTCGTATGTGCTCTTGTGGTCATCTTTTGCCATTTCTACCTTCAACTTGAGTATCATCTCTATCGAAAGATACATTGCCGTTGTGCATCCGCTGTGGTACACAAAGATCTTTAAACGATCCTCAATTGTGTTCATTGCCATGTTAACATGGATGATGGCACCCGGAATCAACATCGCTTACAATGTCGTTGTTAACTACTTTAAAGACGGGGTCTGTATGGAGAACTTTGACAAGGCACAAAAGGTTATCTCCATCGTGCTTTTCTTTTGGGAATACTTCTTTCCTTTGTGCATTATGATCTTTTCTTTCGTCTGTATCACACGCAAACTGTTGAAGATGAATAAAGTCTCCAACATGAGGGCAGCCAATGGTCAATTATTTACCGAAACCTCTATGGGATCCCAGGTACCAGGTCCGAAATCATCTGCAGAACGCAAATCCGAACCCTCGTCGGGAAGTTGCGTCACACAGAAGGAAGACAGTCAAAAAGGACATGCCGTCCGACCAACCCCCATGAACCAATCTGTCACACCAAACGTGCCTGACGATCCTGCTGGGTTCCAAATAGCTGTTATTTCTACCACAGTCATGCCTGGATGTTCATCGTGGAAAGTTGATGGCAACAAAGGCAACAAGCTAGACAGCATCTCAAAATCTGTGAACGTCAACCGAGCTAACAATGGCAAGACACCAAGGTGTGTTCGTCCGGCTGGAGCATCAGTTAGGAGGCTCAACACCACTAAGGTCTTATTATTGGTATCCCTAGGGTTCTTCATCTGCTGGTCACCCAATCAAGTGTATTTTCTCTTGCTTAACCTTGGGGTCATTAACTTTTCGTTGGTTCCCTATCGCGTTACAATCGTCATGTCGACTTGTAATACCTGCATAAATCCATTTATCTACGCGTTTCGGATGAAAAGGTTCCGTAATGAATTCATATCAATATTCAAGGGCAGAAATTAAGCGTAACAACATTGAAAATCGCTCAATTTTACATAACATTCTATCATGTCAATATCGTACTTTTTTTCTTCTTCTAATTTCCACCTGGGCGGATTGACTCGAAGGATTTCTTACAGGTGAATTACAAGTTCATAATTTCTTATAGTAGTAACAATATCATAACAATTTAGTCCGCTTCTTGCATAAGTTTTAATGAATAATGTACCTCCTTGCAGTAATCGTTATTTGTAAATTACTAAGAGATACAAAATTAGGTACATGCCTATCTAGTGATAACCTTCATGACTGTCAAAAGCTTCTACGTTTATACACGCTTCAATGTTTGGCCGAATTGCGCCATAGTTCAAAGTCTATAGGTAGCTTGTGCACCACGAAGGCAAGTCTGGCCAAATGTATAAGTGTATTTGGTCAAGAAAATGGCGTAGTGACACTGTAAATGTAAGAACTTATGTCACCTTCACTTCTTCTGCTCTGTAAATATGTTAATATTATTTTGTGGAGGGAAATATTAAATGCGTGCTGTTCATATTACACAATAACACAATTTTGCATATGTATGCTTTACCATTTAAAAGAGGAAGTCTGCTGATATTTTATTCTCGTTAATACATAGGAGGCACATTTCTGCATAATAGACCAGTTCGTAGTTAGCTAATGGTGCAAACTACTCAACGTATTCACAGATATTCTACGCTTGCAGTTATAGTCCACTTGGTGCATTTTAGAATAATCACTGTCATAATCATATAAATGTGCTTCATGATTACCATTTGTTTGCCCTCTTGGGAGGAATACTTACCGTCGGTACATAAAATGAATGATGATTACAATAACTTTCATGAGCACGTTGCACGTATCCAATTATTCTTGTTTTTACAATTCTGGTACAAATTACCTTTATCTGCCGATGCGCAGATTTTATCAACGAACTGGTTTATCGTGCAAACTCTTTTAAAAGGAGATATCTAGATCTTCTCTTTCATGTTTCCGTCTTTATTGCATTACACACTAAATAACTTTTTCGTAATTCCAAATATTTTCTATCCGTGCAATATTTGCATACTTCTGTTTAATAAATTTCATGTAAATCTTTGTAATGACGTCGCTGGCCCTCTGCCTGAAAACTTTTTGAACAGGAGGCGGTATTATTATTAGTTCATACATGTACGTCTGTTATTTCAAGCAATGTTTGCACTGTCCATTTTGTATTTACTTTTTGTGTATGTCAAAAGTCGTAATAATAATAATAATGATATTGGATATTTATATAGCGCACATATTTACCATGCAAGGTGCTCAAAGCGCTCCAATATTACCCCGGCTCTGCTAGGCTACCGATTTCGGTGCTCATAGCATTCCTTCCTACCGGTCCCCATTTAGGCTTCACCTGAGTGTGGCAAATGTAGATCAATGTCTTGCGCCAGGCAAATGATGTCTTATGTGCAACGACATTAGATATTGTATGCAAAGCGTTCAGGGTTACACCATGTAATTCGTGAGATGAGAGTCGTGGTCGAGTGGTTTAAGGCGCTTGACTGGAGATGCGAAGGTCGAGGGTTCGAATCCCGACACAACACTAATATCCTTTGGCAAGATATTAACCTGCACTTGCTACTCTCCACCAAGGTGTTAAATGGGTACCAGCTAGGATGCGACCGTCGTTGTTGGTCAAACAGTTTTTGAGCGTCAAGTAACGCCTGGCTAGAATGCTCCCCAGGGAGTGGGGATTGTACACACATTGTGTGCGGGAAAGTACTGAATCAATGACCGGAGTAATTAATATATATGTAAAACGCTTAGAGACATTTGTATTAAGCGCTATATAAAAGCGGAATAATATTATTATATCATTATGATCATGAAGTTATTTGACACACGTGAACAATACGTCGTCAGGGTCTTCCGGGCAATATTTGCCTTGAACTTCAAAATAGTGTTTATGGTATGCTTAAGGTTCTAACATAAATTATAAGATTCAAGAAAATGGAAGCTAGTGTCGATCCATGGACATTAATAGGGAAATGATAGAAAATATCTAGTCTTGGCCTATTTAGATTTCAAAGGTTAAACATTCATTTAAATGATAATGTAAGAGTATGATATAAAGATTTAGAATTTGACATATATCAACGTAAACATTACTCGTACCGCAGCTATGTTATCCAACATAATTAAACGGGTGGCTTTTTTATATTAAAAAGCAAATGTCAGTGTCTGGGGAGCATGTCAAATTGAATCATTTGAATGTCGGATTCAAAAAAATCAGATGTCTAAGCCGACAAGTAAGCGCAAGGGAATTAGAGAAACTTTGAAACGCTAGCTGATATGTTTCTCAGTTGATTTGATAAATCGATATACATGTACTACAATATGTTAAAGTGATGTGCAGTTGTTAACATAATATCGATCTCATTCTGAATGTCCGTGCCAAAGCAAGAACATTTGTCTTTATAATGTTAGAAGTGTCACTAGCATGCCTGAGCAGTTTTCATTTGCAATAAGAAAGATTCTACCAAAGATGGTGCATGATAGGTAATGCAACCGTGCCGAGTCAATGTACATAATGGATTTCGGCACTATTCACTTGTGCCGTTTTATACTATTCATTTACACAGCATTTTCAGCGACATGGCCTGGATTTTGTCAATCATGATTATTGTAAACACATGAGTGGCTTTTGCGGGGATTCATAAGAAATTGTTTCCTTTTGACATAATCTGCGTTTACCCAAGATTTAGTTGCGTAGTCTGCCCGAGTTTTGGTTGAAAATGCCCAGTCAATTGTTATCATTAACAATACACTCTCGATATTGTCTGCATGTTTATTATTATGTTTAGTTTTAAGCCGGGGTAATAATAAAATGCGCCTCGGAATAGAATTTCTAGATAGATGGCGCTATAGAAATGCCCATCATTATGTTTAGTTTCAGAGTATATGTTATTACCTTGCCCTACATGTAATCTATTAATCATGACCTTAATGTAATCTGTTCTGTGCAGATACATAATTATGTTCTCTTGTTTTGATATAAATGTTGAGTAAAGTAATGCAAATATTGACGCTATGAATACAGAATACTGAATGGAACCCCAGAGCATTAAAAATGCTTTGAGGTCTTGTTACGTCAGACTTACGGCCATATTACGAGTCTGGTTCTCGCAAGATGGTAGTACGTGTAACTGAGGGCATTCTCAAGTCATTCTTAAGAAGATCTTACGATCTTACCTTAGCGATTCTTACCAATGCTGTAACATACACTATAAGTTGTGAAGTATTGCATACACTCTCCCAGCAGTTAAGCAGTTATATACAATCAAATTTTACTTATTGTTTTGTTCATACCTTGAATCAGGAATGTGTTATGTATGTATTACGTATCGAAAATGGAAAAATAAATGTAAGTTCGCACCAAACTGAAGTAAATCACCCCGTTTTATTATTGATGCTAGTATGGTTAAATGTCAGCAACTAGAGTATGCGCCGGAGTATGCGACGTTTACCAAACTTTCACAAACACTAATGTATTCTATGTGTTAATCCATGTCACGCATCCACCCTTGTATATACACACAAACAAACACACACGCACACGCACACGCACACACACATGCGCGCGCACATTATATGTCATTCTTTGCCTATTCTTTCTATGCAATAAGATTGATTGGTTACGATGCACAAGGCTTCCTTCATGAAATATAAATATATTTATGATATATTCATTTCATCACAAGCTTTACTTGATCATTCCGTATAGGCCATTTTCTTTGTAGACCGTAGGCATGCGCGTCTGGGAGACCGCATGACAAAGAGACCATTACTTTTAAAGCATATCCTGAAATGGGTTCTAGGATCGACACCTACCCCCTTGACATCCACCCCCCTCCCCCGTATAACCACCCCCAGTCATCTACCCCCTGGGACAACTACTCCCTAGGACAACTACTCCCTAGGACAACCACCCCCTAGGACAACTACCCCCTAGGAAAACACCCCCTAGACAACTACCCCCTACGACAACCATCATCTAGGACATTTACCCCCCCCCCCCCCCCCCACTCGGACAACCATCCTAGGGGGTAGTTTCCCGGGGGTAAATACCCGGTGGTAGTGGTCCCGGGGGTAGTCGTCCTAGAAGGTGGTTACCCTAGGGGGTAGTTGTCCTAGGGGGTAGTTGACTGGGGGTTGTTATCGGGGGGATGTCCAGGGGGTAGCTGTTCGGATACGCCTGAAATGATCCCATATAGATGGAATACATTTTTGTTATCTTTTTTCACGAAGAGATTAATCAATATAGTACTGAGAGGATATGACATTTATTTATTAAGAATAAACCATATTGTCACAAGCATTTTAATAAAAGGAGTAAAATTATGATTCCAACGAACAAGGTTTTGAGTACTTTTTTCTCTAATTTTGCAATTTTACATAATATGCGCCAATCAGATTTTGAGCTTATCTGTTTTGCCATTTCCAATAGTACAGCTACAGGATTTTTGTCTCATCTCTTTTGTATGTTTCATGCACTTAAAAGGTTTTCGGGGCATTCCCTGCAAATTACCTATGACCTACAATGTATATTATACACGTACAATGTTTCAAGCGCTTTTTTTCCCACTTTGCCATGTTTCATAAAATGCACTAGTAAGGCTTTGGAAGCGACCTTTTATCAGGCATCATCATTACATTTTAGTGCGACCTTTCTCGTGTACCCATCTCCCATATCATGAATGTCTACGGTTTGATGCGCGTCCGACTAAATAATGATGATAATAATAAGAAGAATGATTTTAATGATAATAATAATAATAATAATAACTATAACTATATAATAAAGATCATAATGATAATGATGATAATAATAATAGGAAGAATAAGAAGAAGAATAACGATGAAAATAATTATAACAATATAACAATTCATTTCTAAAGTAAAGGCTGCAAGTTGGTGTCTGTAGCTGTGTATCTTATTATGATGTGGTGAGAAAAAAAATTGGGCACTTTTTAAAGTTTGTCCGAAATCTCATTTCATACTTAATATTTTAAAATCAAATTTACGGCAATACGATAATCAATTTAGCAATAAAATTGAGGGAAATTTAATATCAAATCAGCATAAATATTTGGAAATAGTGCAATCTCAAAATTTGATGCCAGACGGGTACGCATAAAGTTGAGTATTCTATTTCGTTCTTTTGACAATAATATATTATCTTATTTTGCAGAAACGTACGTTAGTGACAGAATAAATTTAAGGTCACTTTTTTTCATTGTTGGTGACAGAATTTTTAAATATTGTCGAACTGTTAAGATAAAGGCCGCCAGCGAACTTTGGTCACGCGCAACATGTAGTCACACCAACACCTGGCAAGATCCGTTCAGACACGTGCATTCGTAGGACGCTTTGACAGTCATCTTCACGCTGCGGCGCTCATTGCGCTCCAACACAATTACCCGAGTAATATGGCGCGGCCTTCTTTTACAAAATCGTGAAGCCATCACAGATTATGTTCTTTGACAATTATTTGCACACCAAGCACGATAACTATGTAAACCACATGCATTAGTGCGATGTTTTCAGTAATGCTCATGTCAGGATAAAACCACGCCCGTTTAATGTCTTTATTTAAACACCCATGGAAAAGGGTCCTTCTGAGGTATGCCTGTCCATTAGTATTAAACATCCTTTCAGGAAATAACGATTATTCTTATTTATAGAGAAGAAAAACGAAAGGAAAAAGTTTTAAAAAAACGCGTGACGGTTCGAGAAAACTAATCATTCGCCAGAACAAATAGTGG